GTGAGGAATGACTTCTGGTAGTCTTCCATCAACAAAGCTACTGTACTTGCAGGTAAGCAAAGGAGCTGTGATCAAATGATTTGGAGGAGGGAAGCTTCAGGAGCTTTCTGAGTCAGATCAATGCACCAACCCCTGTGAGAGACCTGAGTTGGGCTAGTTAGCATTGACCACCGTCAACCGGCACCCACTGTCACACACTAAAGTTAGGGCTAGGAACCTACCTGGCAGGGCTAGATCACAGAACCTGCTAGTGAGTGTCATGACAGAGGATAGATAATGTTACACTGGACCATGACACTAATGACCATATAAGAGAACCAGATTTGGGGCAGATTATATGGAGGATATGTAGGCTCACCTCTGTGGAACTGCTTTTTGTACTGCTTTGCTCAAGAGCTGGGGGTAGTGAAGGGTTGAACTAGGCATAACCATGGAACCCTCTGACACTCTTGGGTACTGGGATTGAGAACAGGCTAGGCTGGTCTAAGCTGCTGCACCCAAGAATAGGGTGTGGGGCAGGCTGGTCTGGAACATCCATCAGCTCATACAAAGGCTGAGATGGAGGGGGCAGACTATGCCTGGTTAAGAGTCTAGCACCCGCTGGCACATGTGAGACCTGAGTCTGGGAGAGGGCCTGCTGGGAGAATTTGGGAAACTCCCCTGGTGGGCCATAACTCCTGCTGGTGAGTATGTGGTAAGCTGGGCAGGGCAACTCCACTTGTTGACAGGTGTATAGTTTGGTTCTGCCAGGGGCAAGGGGACTAGGCATGGCTGGGCAAAACCTTAGCACACTAAAATGTACAGGATGGATTGCAAGTCATGCCGGGCTACATTATCACACCTACTGGTTTGCATGAGCCAGGGATGAGAGAAGACTATTCAAGACTAGGCTGTAGCACCCACCAGCAAGAGTTGGAACTGGGTGTGGGTTGGGCCAGGTCAGGCTGTAGCATCCGATGGCAAAGGCCAAGAAGGGGGATGGACTATGCTGATCTGGGTCAGAGCAATTGCTGGTACATGTACAAACTCTGTGGCCAAGAACAGGCCTGGTTGTGGGGAGCTAAGGGGACACCCCAGCTGGGTTATGGGTCCCACTGGTGAGCATGAGAACCAGAATGAGGGCAATGATTTGGACTGGATATGACTGCGATGTCCTTCAGCATGGGTGTGAACTGGTCTAGGGTGTGCCAGACTGGGTATAGAGCCAGGGAGAATTCAGCATGGGTTGGGCTACAACTCGGCATCCACTGAGCCGTGCAAGAGCCATGTCTGGGATTGGACCAGGTGTGGCTGGACTATAACACCCAACAGTAAAACCAGAATGGGTGTGAGCTAGTTGGGCACAGCCACAGTTCCTGCCAGGACAGGAGGTAGACCAAGTCAGTCTAGGCCAAGGACCCACCGAAGTGCACAGCATCATCCACTGGGAAGAGATCCAATGGAGGATCTTGTGGAACTCTTCTGTTAGGACACAGTCCCTGCAGATGAGTGCAATAATCAAAGCTCGAAGCAGCCCAGACTGGGCCAGGTTATAGTACCTGCCAGTATATGTCAGGCTGTCCAGGCTGGCCTAGGCTGCAGCACCCACCAGAATGAGCTAGAACTGAGTACAGACTAGGCTAGGCTAGGTTACAACACCCTCCTGCAAATGCTGAGGTAAGGTGAGACATGCCAGACTGAGTCGCAGCACCCACCCACACATGTAAGACCTGGGGATGGAGGAGAGCCAGGTAGGGGGCAGAGAGAACTACCCTGCTGGGACACTGCTCCTACTGGTGACCATGATAACTGGGACTGGGGGCAGACCAGGATAGGCAGTCCTACAACACCTGTTGGTCTGCATGTGAGCAGGTTTAAGGGGAGAGCCAGGCTGGGCTAAGCAACTGTCTCCACCAGTGCATGCATGAGAGTAAGTGCAGGTTAACTGGGCTTTGCTGCAGCATCAGCTGGCAAGTGATAGGCTTGGAAGTAAGTCCTGTCAAGATCGACTGTAGAACCACCTGGAAAGTACAAGATCTCGGAGTGGGTCTTGTAGAGAAACTAAGCACCTCGGTTGGACTACAGATCCCACCAGTGAGCATGAGAACCAGGGCTGGAGGTAGACCTGGCTGGGCAGGCAAAATTGGACTGGAGAGTGGGGTCAGTTGAGCTGATATAGTGCTTCATTGCCCACTAACATACCAAATGGGATGTGGGACAGAAAAGAACAGTCTGCTGCACTTTCTGGCATGTGCAGGAATCAGGGCTAGGAGCAGACCCAATGGGAAATATTGAGAGTCACTGCAACTGGGCTGTGGTTTCCATTGATGTACATGAGGGCCCCAATTGTATTGTGGTCTGTAGCATCCACTGGTTTGTATAAGAGATGGGACTGGAGGCAGAACTGACTCAGAAACTGCAACCACCCCAGTGTGCTAGCAAATACAAGAGTCAGGTCTGTGATCACCTCAAACAAGGTTTCTTTGGGACACCCCCCGGAACTGAACAGCTTGACTCAGAACTCCAACCATGGGGAAAATTACAGGATCCGTTGTCATACTTTGGAGTACATGTGCCAGAACTAGGACTCCTCAGTTGCTAAGATAGAACAGTGGTCAACATTACCCAAATGCACATGGAGGATATAGTAGTCCATTGGGGCCTACAGAAGACATCTGGTACCATAGCAGAGGAAGGAGGCAGAACAAATCAGACAACTACCCTAGCCAAGTGTTGAAGGTAAATATCTGGGCAAATGAAGACTCTAAGGTCAACTATGTCAGCCAATGAATCTTGGAAGGATTTCTGTTGGGGTCCGTGCAGTAGATGTGGGGGGCATGAGGAGGTGAAGAGTGTTTCATTGCAGGCAGGGCCGCAAGGAATTTCCCGCTGTTTGGCAGGGCCCGCCCAGTGGATGTCTCTACAACCACCTGAATGCAGCTCCACCTTCTTTTGCATGGACACCGGACCACCCTGCGGAAGAATTCTAATCCATCCTGGCATTTGCTATTGCGAGGTTAACCTTTTGCTCAGCCTGAGCTTGGAGGTCAATATCTTGCAAAAAGGGCCCTTTATCATTCCTACTGTCTTGGCTGTCCCCATTGAACCTATGCTAGTCAAGGGACCTGTATTTAGGCTTTCATTCTTTCCTTGATCTTTAAGTTCTCCTTTTCTTTGTGATACAAGATTGAATTGCAGGATAAGAATTGTAGCAGGAACTTCTAGGTACTAGCAGCAGGAACTTCTAAATAATACTATGGCAGAGTTATCTTTAGAAGCACCCACTTGACTGTGACGTAAAAAGTCTGAGCCAGAGTTTGACTGATTTTATATAAATAAAGCGGACAGCTTTTGTGCGTCGTCCATTATGATCATGAAGTCCTAGTGGTCCGTCTCTTTCTTTCCTCTTTACGCCTCATCCACGCACCCTTCTCGAGTTCCAAACTCAGCTGGAGCTGGACTCCGGCAGATTTCTTCATCCTAGATCAACAAAATCAACAGCATTTGAAAACTATCGAAACTACTTAGCATGTTCCACAGTGGGGACCCTGGAATGACATCAGGTGGCCACTCCCCATCCCTGGGTACTGATGCGGTTAGGGTGCTGAATGTGGCTTCCTCCCTTCTATCCCTTCTCTTCACCAGATACAGTAAAAATAAAAGAAGCTCGGAAACAATGATCTCATCCACTTTCCCTGAATTGTCAGCTCCTGCCATTCCAGTCACTTGGGAAGTGAACTAGTAGAAAAAAAGATCTTTCTCTCCCTCTCTCTTTCTCTCTGTAAGTCTGCCTTTCCAATAAATATAAAATACTTAAAAAGCTGTCATTTAAAAAGTTAAATCTATGCAAAAAAAAACACATAGATAAAATGGAAGGCCATTAGGTCAAATGAAATATAAGCACAGAAAGAAAAGTACTGCATGATCTCACTCTTATGTACAACTTAGTTAACCAGATGAGTTCATATATACTGATGTATGATAGTGGTTCACAGAGGCTACATAGTGTGGAGAGGGTAGGAAGATGGAAGACTGATTAGCAGAAACCAAGGCTACACAAAGACAGCAGTAAGAAGCTCTGGTTTTCAAATGCACAACAAGGTGACTATAGATAATATTATTACACTGATACTGTTTTATTTTTAAAAACTAAGAAATAGGATTTTGAACATTTTTCCCATAAACAAATGTTAAACACTTAAGGTAGTATATTTATTTTGATTGGATATTATATGGTTACATAATCACAGCAGGTGTCAACTAAATTTCTAACTGGGAGAAATAAAATATATTAAAAGAAGATTGTTAATTTTAAGAGACAACAATGTTTTATTTGCAAATAAAAGGTCTTGTGTGTCTGTTATAGCTCTTCCACATGCCCTTGTAAGTCATTAATTTGAAGATTTAGGATATAACTTGTGAGAGGCAGGTAAGCCTGCAATATGGAAATTGAGTTCCTTCATGCTGGAAGTCATAATGAGATGACATAATCTATTAACACAAATCTTATCACATGAGAGGCACCTTTAGAAAATAAATGTGAATGCTACTATCTCAAAAAATAGTCTAAAATTAATGTATTACTAGTCCATAATAATTTGGCTTTTTAAAGTCTGATTTGGTCATTTACTTAGGAAACAGAAGTAGAGGAATGAAGAGTTTGATGAGCTAACTCATTCCCCCAATGTCTGCAACAACGAATCCTGGGCGCCGCTGATCCCAGAAACTGTCAAGTCATTCTGGATCTACCTTAATGTATGGCAGAAACCCAACCATGCAAACCACCTCCTGCACCTTCAAGGGTGTGCATTGACAGGAAGCTGGAAGCAAGAGTGGAGACGCAGCTCAAAGGCAATGGGGTACAGGCATCCCAAGCCGTATCTTAAACCACTAAGCCAAATGCTCACCACAAGGGTACTTTTAAAACAAAGGAATACAGGTGAAGTTGCTAGGCTTTTCTTTTTTAAAACAATGCCTACAGCATAACATGTAGTCACTAAATGTGTATTAAATAAATCGATCTGAAGAGCCAAAGATTCACAAAAATCTTACTAATTGTTCAGTCATATGGTTCGGAACATTTTTATCCAATTCTTCTGACCCTAATTAATAAACAAATGGTACATTTTTTCAATGTGGCTTTATGTTCCCTTAAGTCTTTGCTCACAAATTTTGTATATCTAACTTCAAGTCCAAGGTTCAGGGATTGGAATGTTCGGGTGAGTGGTAACTCTGGACACACTCTATGAACCTGGAGAAATGTCTTCAGAGACAAGGTGTTCTCCCTCCACCCCAACAGCTGTGCTGCCACAGCCCTTCCACATCCTGTCAGACATAGTGAGTCTCTACCTCAGGCCCCCTAGCAGCTGATGTCTCAAAGAGACTTTGAGGGTTTTTGTGTAACTCCCTACAAGAGTCCTCTCACAGTGTCATCATTCAGTGCACAGAAGTACACAGCTGAGTCTCCCAGCTGTGAAGTGGAGATGATAAGGCTGATGGATTTCCTTTCCTTCTGGAAGTTCAGTGAGTAGCGGCCTTGTGTTGTATTGTGCTGGCTGTAGGAGTCCTGACGAATAAGGAAGATCATCTCCCCAGTGCTGGGCTGCTTATACCAGTAGAGATTGTAACTCCCAACACTGACCTCATATGTGCAGTCCAGGGTCACAGGTTCTTTCTCTTGTACCAGTATTGCTGTTTGGGCTTGAGTTACCTTCTGGGCGATGCCAGATCCTGAAAGTAAAAACAATCAGAAAGTTATGGATAGGTAGAGTGAAATGATAAAATTCAAATTTCACGTCCCATTACCCTTCCCTCCCAAAGTCCCCATAAAATGCTTCCTAAATGTCCAGATCTGGCTCCATCCCTACCAAGCCACAGTGAAGACAGAATCACCAAAAGCCTGGAGACCAACATGCTTTCACTGTTCTTCAGGATGGAAATATATTCTGTTCCAGAGCTCTGCACTGTCAAGCCAGACGGGGAACGGGGAGTCCTAATCAGCTATGAGCTGCTGCTTCTGCTGCTGCTGAGCTAGAACAGGAAGCAGAGGTTTCCTGATATACTGAGTTGGGGTGTGTCATGTCAAACTTCTCTATACAAGCCAGATTTCTACCCAACCAGAAGTTCATTGAATCAACCAGCTTTTGGTTTAAAAAAGAAGAAGAAAGAAAAATTTATTTAATTACAGAGGTCTTCCCTATACTGCTTAACTCCCTCAAATTCTTACAAAGGCTGGAGCTGGGCCTGTTTGAAGCCAGGAGCCAGAAGCCAAGACCTTCCTCCAGGTCCTCACATTGGTACGGGGTCCGCCCAAGTACTTGGGCCATTGTGTGCTGCTTTCCCAGACACATTAGCAGGGATCTGTATTAGAAGTGAGGCAGCCAGGACCCCAAAGTGCATCCATATGAGATGAGAGCTTCACAAGCAGCAGCTTTACCCACTATACCACAATGCCACATACACTCGACTTTTCATTTCATAACAGTTAAGTACATGGACATATATTGAAGGGAATTTCAATAAAGTGACCAAATGCCCATCCATTAAATCTGTGCCACAAATGGGAAGTTGACATCAATTTTTGAATGCTGTGTTTAGTGGATCTTGGAGACAAGACGTTAATAACCAAGCATACCCACACCTATAAGAGGCATTCTCAATTCCAGTATCTAACCAATGGGCTTAACCTGGGTACACTCAGCTGAAAAAGAAAAACCCCTATCTCTGCTTTCATACGAAAGCACCAAACATTAAGTTCTGTCCTAAAGTTCTCCTTAGACTTTCTAGTTCTCTTCATAGAAACCAACTTAGACATCAGAACTATGTCAACCACCAAACTTATGTTTTTTTCCGATACTTCATTATCGGCCCTGAATTAGTCACAGAAAACTGCCATATTCTGTCTGATTAACTCTGAGGGGAAGTATCCTACATAATCCTCTATATCTTCATAGGACTGCTGATCATAGGATCACTAATCATGTTCCATCATTCCTTCTGTTTGAACATTAAAGATAAAACAATGGCCCCACAGTAACACATGATTTATCACGATCACGATTCTCTGATCACTAAAAATTATGGGTGCTATTGTAGGCCAAAAAGGAGACTCATGGCTCTTTTATCTTGCTTCTCAATATAGTAGACAAAAACTCCAAATAATTCCAGCTGTGTCCAGGCTGACTGAAGCATCTCTGTGTATTAGAATCACATTAAATGATAATACATAAAGTACAGCTTTTCTACTGTATGAAATCATTCAATATTTCTCTACCAGGAGGACAGCTGATTTTGAGATATTACTGATTTGATTTCATACAATTCAATTTTGATATGTCTCTTTGTCAGGGTAAATCATAAAATTATACTTGTGTCATTCAAAAGTATCCGTATTCAGACAGATATTTTAAACACTCTTATACCAAATGCTGAATTAATTTTGTCCTTCCATAAGTCTTAACCTAAAAATGAAACAGATAATGCCAAACAAATTTTCAATCTTTTTAGTTATTATTATTATCATTTTATGATACAATTTAAAAGGCTCCTCATATTTCCCTTATCCCAGCCTCAATTTCACTTCCCACCCCCCTCCCCGCCAGTTCCTCTATATCATTACTAAAGTATAGTTATTCACACACAGTCATATGTCCATCATTGTGGGCATGGACAATGGCAGAGTCCAGCATCCTATTGTTAAGATAAAGTAAACAGTTTCATTGTAAGTCCATCTTTGCCTGGAAATAGAGATGCCTACTACATTGCTTCCTCATATGTGGATATGTTAATCTCCATTTCACAGTTACTGTACATCCCCTTAAATAAAAAGTCACAGTACAAAATCAACAATAGGAAGAAAAACAGAAATTCACATGCCATGAAGTTAAATAACATGTTACTAGATATGACAGTCTCCATTACAGCTACTATACATTTTCTTAAATGAAAAGACACAAAACAGACTCATCAACAGGAAGAAAAAAGAAATTAATACCACCATGAAGTTAAATAACATGCTACTGAATGACTAATGTGTCATTGAAGAAATTAAAAAGAAAATCAAGAACCTTCTTGATGAAAATGATGCTACTGTATGATCTGAGTCATTGAAGAATTTAATCAGAAGAAACTGCTTTGAAGAGATGCAACTAACAAAAAAAAAAATCAAAATCCATGAGATATAATTTCCACTGATTTTTGTGGGTGAAATATGTGTCCTATAGGCAACAAATAGATGGGTTTTGTTTTTTAATCCAGTCTACTAATCTATGCCATTTGATTGAGCTTAAGCCATTCACAATCAGGGTAAATGTGTATGGGTAGCACTTTGGTCCTGTCTTTTTAGGAATGGGTTGTTCCTTGGTTTAGTCTTCTGTTGTCATTTTATTGGGATGTTCTTCCCATTTGCCTTTGGCCTGATCCAGCTCTACTTCCAGCTTTTTATTTGCTTCCCCTGGTGACAGGAAATATCTTCTTCTAATTTTGAGATTCTTTCTTTTGCTTCCTTCATTCTATTTTGGAGACTTTTAATTTGCTCTACTGTGTTGTTAATTTCTGATATATCAGCCTTGATTTGTTTTATTGCTGTTGTTTCCTGTTCAACATATTCCTTAAATTCTTTGAACTCTTGTATGAGCTTCTCACTGTTGATCAGAAGCTTTATAATGAGTTTTCTGCATTCTGTGTCCCCCATTTTCTCGATGTCTTCCTCAGTTAACTCTGAAGATGGCATTGGGTTTTGCTCCTTTGCAGGGGAGTTTTCGGTGATATTCATTGTGCCTTTGTCTCTTTTGCTCTTTCTCATTGTACTTCTTGTTAGCAGAATCTTCTCCTTGGGGCAGGTTTCTAAGCTGTGTCACCATAGGTCTACAGTTTGATTTATTTATTACAGTTGGTATCCAGCTCTTTGCTTGCAGCCAGTTGTGCCACTCCCTCCAGCAAGATTCAGGTCTGGGTTCTTATTTTAGATTTCCACTGTGATCTCCACAGCCCTAGCTCCTGGCTCACCAGTCTCCACCTCCTGTGATATCGTGCTGAGGTTGCACTGTTGTCTCTGCAAACTTTCTCCCACTTCCGGTTGGAGCAGGTCCCAGGATTAGGGAGACACCAAGTGTCCTATATAGCTAGGTTGTTGATGGTGCTGATCTTGCTGGAACTTTTGGATGTTAGGTCTGGGTGCCACTCGGACCTATTTTGACCCATACAATGTCACAGTTGGTATTATTTTCCTGTGGAATCAGTGCAATCCACTGAGCTCAGTGAGTTCTCACAAGCTCAGCACATGCACAGTTCACTGTTGTCCCCTGCAGTCCTAAAACTTTGCCACACTGTACAAAATGGCGCCTGATTTGCCACTATTAGAGTTCTTGATCTGTTAGCTGTCAAGTCTGAGGACTACCCAGACCTATCTTGGGTGGAACCTGTAGAATGCCATGTTGCTGCTGTTAAATGAGTCAGAAAAACGTTCACTCCCAGCTCGGAGTACGCTCAGTCCTTTCCCTTGCCTTTGCCTCCTTATGCAAAATGGCACCCAATTCAGCTCTAGGGGGCTAACTGGACTATGAAATCCACGCTGTTCTGGCGCTGCCCATCTGGGATCTGCCTCTCTGTCTCTGCTCCTGGTCAAATCAAACAGACAGCAGGACGGACAGTTCTTTGTCTGAGTTCACTTCCCAAGGTCCCAGTGAAAGTCCCTTCCCACCTGGATGCTGGTAGAGTTCCAGCTGCTGGTGGAGTTGAGATCAATTAGCTGAATGCCGCAGGAGTATCAGTCACTGCAACACCACACCATTGTTTTCGCTGCTTTCCTGTGTCTGTCAGTCTCCAGGTACCCCTTTGCTGTTTTCTGTCCTCTCCTATTTCCTGGAATGTGCCCTCTCTGCTTCATCCTGATTAAGTGTTTCTCTGTCCGTTTAAATATGTCCTTACCCTATTCCACCATCTTGAGTCTCCCAATACCAAACAAAGTACATAAGAACACTCCAGACTGCATTATATTACCCAAACCTTAACTAGAAGTAACTAACTTGAGTGACTAACTTGTGTCTCTCTTTTGGATATTTTAAATTACTAAAGATATATACAGTGACATTCACTATAGGAATAGAGGAACCTTTGCACATTATTGGTGGAAATGCAAATTAGTACAATTATTTTTAGAAAACAATGTGGAGGTTACACAGAAAATTAAAATGAAACTACCATACAAACTGGATTCCCACTGCTGGATATATATCCAAGAGAAATAAAATAAGTCTGTGAAAGGAATTTTCATTTCCATGTTTAGTGCAGCATTGTCGACAAAAGCCAAGAAATGAAAATGACCTGTTTCCAACAATTGCTGAATGGATGAAAAAATCTGACAAAGATAGATGATGGTATACAACTCAACCATATACAGGATGAAATCTTGTCTTTTGCAACAATATGGATGGAGTTGGAGGCTATTGCAGTTAGTAAAATGAGCCAAGCTCAGGAAGATAAATATTGTAGGCTTTCACTAACAGGGAAATGTTAAAACAGAGCTCTCACAGAGGGTGAGCATATAATGGTGTTGGCCAGAGGTTGAGGAAAGTAGAAACGATGAAAGCACAAGAAAGTTTATTTAATGAACAACAGGTTGTGTTATACAGTAATGAGAATTTCTGGTGTTCTATTACACAGTGGGGTGAGCATAAATAATGACAAAGTTCTACACATATTTCAAAGTTGAAATAAAGCATTTTTAGTGTTTTCTCCATTTAAAAAGTAATAAACAGTTCAGGAGAAACATACACATCACTTATTTGGAGATTGTACAATGTATTCATGTATTAAAACATAAAATAATACCACAGAAGTATCTATCATTTTTATAGATAGTTAAAAATAAATAATAAGACATCTCACTTAGAAATTAAAAAAAAAAAACAAGCTATCAAACAACAGTCAACAAACTGTTCTAACATTTTCCAGGTCATTTTGAACTTAGTTTTTTCATTCTGTGCTTCATGTTTGCGTGTTAGGCTCCACTTGCAAATAGTGTGGCAAAGGCTTTACTAGAAAGTTTGTGATAAAGGAAAGGAACCGAAGTTGAAGTCCAGTCACAGGTTTGGGCACAGGACACAGGTGCCTGGGGAGCACTGTGTACTTGTTGCACAGAAGTAGACAGCTGAGTCCCCAGGCTGGGTGGCTGTGATGTGCAGGGAGACATGCTTGGCCTTCTTATCCAACAAAACAGTGAATCTTTGGTCTTGTTTTTTATCCACATTGGAGCGAATGTCTATGAAGAGCTTGGGCCCCTGCCCAGCTTCTTGTTTGTACCATGGAAAGTAGACTGAAGCACTGTTTGAGTAGGTACAGTTGATAACAGAGGTCCCTCCTTCCTGGACACTCAGAGTAGAAGGCTGCTGCTCCACATCCTCGCCTCGGCTCATCCCTACGCAGAAAGGAAAAAAATCAGTCATTGTTCTCCAGAATTTTCTTTATCCACAATAAGTAGATGAAATCTGAATAAAGCCAGCCTTCTCTGGAGTTACAAAGAACATCCAGTAGTATTGTCCCCAAACCCTTAACTCACAATCCAGCTGCAGCCACAAGAATAAGAATGAAGCCTCAATGGATGTCTTCATTGTTCTTTCCAGTCAGGATCAGTCCTACACCTGCAAATTATAGCCACAAGAGCTTTGATTCTCAGGTTGCCCCTTCTTTTCTCTAACAAGCATGATGGGTTTTCATATTGTCTACCAGCCAATTAGAAAAAGACTGCCCCTGCTGTAAGCTTATTCATTCAGAATTCACCCAACTGAACCTCCCATATGCTGCACAGCAGAGGTACACTACCATCTTGTGGCCACATTTCTCACTACTAAACTCATTGAGTAAATGCTGTTACTTACGCTATAATGGACTCAGATTCATAAAAGCAGCAACAATTCAAAACAAATTAGTTTTGAGATGAGACTTAAAATGCATAATAGCAATTAAAAGATTAAGGCTGATATTTATTCACACTGCTTAGTCATTATTAATATGTTAGAGGAAGGTATAAGCTTTTGATAGTGTTTATTCCACAATGGACTGAATTTTCATATAGGAAATAAAAAAGCACATGATTCACTCTCATAGACAAGAAAAAATAATACCTTCTCTTTCAGCTTAATGTACTATTAGGATTTGCCTGTTCTAGACATAAATTCTTTGCAAAAAAAAAAAAAAGAAGAAGAAGAAAGTACAGAAGTCAAACATCAGGACAAGAGAGAGAGGACAACTCAATATTTTAAATGCATAGTATCACATACAATATTGCTACAAGCCTGGTCTTGCCCATGACCATGCTATCCCAGAGAATGGAAAATATCAGTGGTTAAAATGTAGAATTTTCTCGTCTATAAGAACATGTCCTATTTAATGAAAAGGATGGAGCAATGGACACAGGCCCTGTTGTAAAAGGAGAATATGGCAGCACATTTGGTATTGTAGCAAAAGAAGGAGAACAGAACAGCTGGACAACTACTCCAAACAAATGATGAACAGCAAAACATCTCGGTCAATGGAGCCAATGGACACTGGGAGGGTGCGTTATCCTTGGATCAGTGAAATCAGCAGCATTTCAGAACTATCCAAACCACTTGGGCAAAACTCTCAGGATATGTACACATTGAGACTCTGACTTGATATGAGCTGGTGGTTCTTCATCCCTGGGTATTTTGACATGTGGAAAGTCGTGAGTGGTTTTCCCCTTTGTTTCTCCCTTCCCCCGGGAACAACAAGAAGAAATAGCAAATTTGGAAGCAATGAGTTTACCCAATTTTCCCTAAACCTCAGTCCTTCCCACCTTGATCAACCATATAATCATAATTAGAAAATAAGATGCATTTAAAAAAGAACAAAATCTCAAGAATAAGTAAGCATGAGGATAAGTTATATGAAGTATTAATACTCCAACCTTAAGAAGCAGCTTGACCCATTGACTGGGTCAAACTTTGCAAAGAGAAATTTGACATCCTTTAAAAAATCATTTCGTGGGCCTGGTGCGATAGCCTAGTGGCCAAAGTCCTCGCCTTGAACATGCCAGGATCCTACCTATATGGGCACCAGTTCTAATCCCGGCTGTCCCACTTCCCACCAAGCTCCCTACCTGTGGCTTGGGAAAGCAGTCAAGGATGGCCCAAAGCCTTGGGACCCTGTACCCACGTGGGAGACCTAGAAGCTCCTGGCTCCAGGCTTCAGATTGGCTCAGCTCCAGCCCTTGCGGCCGCTTGGGGAGTGAACCATTGGACGGAAGATCTTTCTCTCCTCCTCTCTGTATATCTACTTTTACAATAAAAACAAAATAACTCTTTAAAAAAGAATCATTTCCTTTTGCTGTGTAGCTTGTATCTCTCATAGGGAGGAAAGGAAAATTTTAAAATCTTAGAAGTCATCAGGCCAGAGAGTCTAAACATTGTAATCCCACATAAGTTTTTTCTTGAGGTAATTTTATTTTCTGATACCTAAATTAATAATATCAAAATGGTTTATCCCTAAGTGCAAGGACTGACATATCGCAATAGAATTTCCTCTAAAGTATAATCCAACTTTCTGCCTCCTTGGACATTGCAAGCTCAGATTTCACACTCCGTCACTAATCTCCCAAATTCCATCACATTATTCTTTCCCCCAAGATGTTGGTTAAGTTCCTACCTTCTGTACATTCCCATTAACATCCCCTATGTGAGAAAGCCTGGGCGTTTACCTTAATTTCCTGATATTCTCTGGTATGGCTGTAAGAATAATTCTAAAGAAGTCTGAATGTTGCCTGTGCTTTCTATGGGGATAGTACAAAAAGGAAACTGACCTGGAAGAATTGATGTAAGATGTGGCTCTTAGGAAATCAACAGTAACCCAGTCCCAGTAGTGGAAACCTCTGATTAATCCTTGGGATGTGTTTCTATGTGGATTTGATCCCTCCTAGAGCATCCATGATAGATGTTAGTTCAGGGGACCCCAAATCACGGAAAATGAGAGTTCAGATCAGATCATCACAGAAAGTGATATAGGATTGTTGTGGGCTAAGGAGTTGATTAGCTCATTGAGCTGGGGTTGGGAGGAGGACAGGAACTGGGATTGTGGCTAAAAACACCTAGACTAATTGGACTCATCTGTATCCAATATCCTGGCTAAATTAGGACTTGGGAGGAAGCATATATAAGGAGAGCTGAAGGGGCAATAAAGCAAGAGTTCACAGAGACTTCTACCATCACTGGTCCCCTGTCAGTGCTTCATCACCAGACTCTCTCCCTGTCCATGTTACTGGCTCTGCTGGTCGGAGCATAGGGTAAACGAGGGGTAAGTATATTGAAACTTCTGAAGATTTATTCCTTTATTCTTAGAGTTATTTGTTTATTTTAATTTACTTGATAGACATGGCAAAAGAAACACACAGCGTGTGAGAGAGAGAAGAGGAGATTCCAACTGCTAGCTACTTTCCTAAATATCCACAACAGTTGGACTGGACCAGGTCAAAGCCAGCAGCCAAGAACTCCATCCAGGTCTCCAACATGGATGGCAGGAGCTGTAGCGCTTGAGCCATCACCCTGTCACCAATTGTCCCTCAAGATGCACATTTGCAGGAAATTGGTTGGAAATGGAGGTAGAACCTGATCCAGGTACATCAGCAGTCTGTCGTTGCCCCAAGCAATGGCTTAACCCATAGCACCACAGCACCTGCAACTGATTTATCTCTTATATTTATAACTGTAAGTCATAGTTTCTATAAGTTTTATAGAAAACATAGCTCAACAACTTTTACAACAAACCAGAAGGAAGTGAATGAGTTCACTAATATGTAAAGTAAAAGGCACTTTTCCAAACAGGCTGGTGTCTGGTGTTCAGTGCTCTCCTTCCAAATTTAACTCAAAGGGTCAAGTTTCCCACCCTTGGCTGCTACATAACGTGTGGGGCTTAAGGCAAAATGAAAATTAGAAATCTTTGTCCAAATGTGGGAAAAGAGTGCTGCTAGGCAACAAAATTGTAAAATCCTACTTTAAAAGTTGTATTATTTTAAAATACATGAGAGTTTATAATTATGTCTTATTAACAATAAGAACTTACAAATGAAAAATATGACAGTACCATAAGTTATATTGCTTATATATGTATTGATAGTAACATTAATTTAGTTACAACTTCATTTTCAAGTACAATAATTAAAAGAATGTCCGTTGCCCTTGATAAATACGAGTTTGAAAGCAGAATTTTTCATCATTTCTAATTTTGGAAGGAAAGACAATTTCTACTGATATAAATGATACTGGCACACGTGAGAGCATTTTATGTACTATGACAAGATCAATACATATACTAAATGAATCCATTTTAAACATAAAAGGGTTTATACATCTAGTACAAGTTTCCTAAATAATTGAATCCTTCATATAAATAATTTCCTGTAGATAAAAGTATCTGTACTATAAAAGTAAATGTACATAGCCACCTTTGAATATTACTAACATTTTTCTCTAACTTCCAGTAAGAAACTGTAAGTGGCTCAACAATCGGTATAGAATTCATGATACATGCTTATGCTTTCTGTAACTGTGTATTCAAATTCAAATAAAGAGAAAATTAATTAAAATTATCTCTGATGTTAATAATGTTAAAATGTTAATGATGTTAATTCAGTGTGTGGCACTGTAGCCTAATAGCTAAAGTCCGAGCCTTGTATGTGCCAGGATCCTATATGGGCACTGATTCTTATCCCACCTTCTCTGCTTCCCACCCAGCTCCCTGCTTGTGGCCTGGGAAAGCAGAAGAGGATGACCCAAAGCCTTGGGACCCTGCACCCACATGGGAGACCCAGAAAAAGCTCCTTGCTCCAGATTCACTCAGCTCCAGCTGTTGTGGCCACTTAAGAAGTGAGTCAGCAGATGGAAGATCTTTCTCTTTGTCTCCCTCTCTCTGTAGAACTGACTCTTTAAAGAAATAAGTTTTAAAAAAATAATAATAATGTTGTTTCATTCAAGACTTTATCTATTTTTTTCCTTTCATCAGGGTACTATCTTTACATTTAGTCTGTCCTTGAGCCTGCAGGTACTCACCTTACAATGTTAAAACAACTTTTCAAATCAGAGTTATTAAGTTTCTTAAAGACCGCTATGCCTGCCTAAGAGCATGTCCTTTGTCCCCCGTCCTCTGAATCTTGCTTGTGCACATGCTTCCCTTACAAGTAGAAGTTAAATAATGAAATTATTAAGCATATATTCTTTCTAGAGCAAGGTCCTTTTCCACTGCACAGGAACCAGCCTTACTTTTGGCTTCCCTGGGGGCTGGACATGGCTTCATCTTAGTGTGCAATACCTGTACTTCCTAGCCAGGGTCCCTACATGAACGTTAAGTATTTGGAAAGATGGGAATTCTGTGTGTTGAAATTGCTGGACTTCAGATTTAAAATGTGGATGCGGTAGTCTGAGTTGTCATTGGTAACTGTGCGAAATAAGAGTTTCTTTCACATGACCATAGGAACTTTATAATTCCTTTCCTATACGTCAAATTATGTTCCAAAATCACAGATTCCTTTAAAATATGACAAACACAAATTACACTGCAAAAAAAAAATGAAAATTTCAAAGGCTTTTCCTTAAAAAGTACTAATATAAGAAATAACAAAAATCAGCATTTATTCCATTGTCATACGTAAGAATACTGCGTAAAATTATCAGTGGAAATGATTTGCATTTCTGTGGACCTGATGACTGGGTGATAAGAACACTGACT